TGGGTTGTAGGATAATGATATTATCTGTGCATAATGATCACTTGATATTCGCAAGAGGCAATTCTGTTGCAAATCTTTGGAAATCTGGAAGACAGGGAGCTGCGCAACTCCAAAACAGCTCTTGCAACACATTTGATGCAAATTATAAGGTTTCTACTCTACCTTTTCTAGTCCTGCTATGTTATTAATCTTGCTTTCTTTCACAATCCTGATAACCTCAATGCAGCTCAGATGAAAAGCAAGAAGCCATAAAATTGCTTTCCATGACAGTATGTGGAGGAAACATAAGTCTTGTTGTGTTTCTTTTTTTCTTTTTCCTTTTTTTCCCACTATCAAAAACAAAAAGGAAAACACTCAGATTAATACCAGAAGAGATTCTTGTGGTAAAGGTGGCTTACTCTTTATAGTTTCTCGCATCATCTACCAGCAAACCTGTCTGAATCATCACAGGTAGGGCACGAAGATCCCTTGTTACTATAAAAAGGAGTGTAGATGAAGATGGCTATCTGTTATTCTCCAAAAATTGTTCTTCTCCAGTTTTTATGATGTCATCTTGGAACCAAAATTTAGTTAGAGGTTGACGTGGTCAATTGTTAGTTTTTTAGTTATTCTTGGTTTAGCTTCATTAAGACATGTTCCCCACAATCCAAGCAAAACCTTTGCTAATATTAGCAGACAGCAAATTCTATGGTGTCCATAAACTCTGGAAAATTTCGGGCGCCTATAACTGGAGATGTCTTTCCTCAAGCTCTCCATGGCTGTCAATTCTTGCCTTTCTTTTCACTTGATATAACATCCTTCTCATCTTTATTCCCTCCTATAAGCAGCCTTGGGCCTTCCAAGGTGGTCATTAATGGCGAACCTTCTCAGAGCCTTCGGCTGCCTTTTCTTTTTCTCCCTGCTCTTCTCTTCATTCTCAACCTTCTCTCTTGCCTTAACTGATGCTGAAGCATCTTATATTGCTCGTCGCCAGCTCTTGACGTTAAATGAAAATAGTGAGCTTCCTCATGAGTTTGAGTATGAGGTCGATGTGAAAATAACCTTTGCAAACCAAAGGCTGAGGAGAGCGTATATTGGTCTTCAGGCCTGGAAAAAGGCAATATACTCCGACCCATTTAACACTACTGGCGATTGGGTTGGCGCCAATGTGTGTGCCTATAATGGTGTGTTTTGTGCACCAGCTCTAGACGACCCCAGTCTGAGCGTTGTGGCAGGTGTTGATCTTAACGGTGCTGACATTGCTGGGCACCTTCCAGCTGAATTAGGGCTTATGACAGATGTTGCCTTATTCCACATTAACTCTAACAGGTTTTGTGGTATCATTCCCAAGAGCTTTTCCAAGCTCACACTCATGTATGAGTTTGATGTCAGCAACAATCGCTTTGTTGGTGATTTCCCTTCTGTTGTTCTATCCTGGCCAAGCCTCAAGTATCTTGACGTCAGATTCAACGATTTCGAAGGTGGTTTGCCTCCAGAACTCTTCAACAAGGAACTCGATGCTTTGTTCTTGAATGACAACCGATTCACATCCACCATCCCGGAGACAATAGGCAACTCCACAGTTTCTGTTGTCACATTTGCTAACAACAAATTCACTGGCTGCATTCCACACAGCGTCGGCAAGATGGCTAACTTGAACGAGGTCATCTTTATGGGCAATGACCTCGGTGGTTGCTTCCCAGCAGAAATTGGGCTGCTTGGTAATGTGACTGTCTTTGATGCCAGCCACAATGGGTTCACAGGAATCTTGCCGCCCAGCTTTGCAGGCCTAAAGAAGGTTGAACTCTTGGATCTTGCCGACAACAAGCTGACAGGATTTGTGCCCGAGAACATTTGCAAGTTGCCAAGCTTGACAAACTTCACATTCTCGTATAACTACTTCAAGGGGGAGGCTCAAGCTTGCGTGCCTCCATCAAGGAAAGACATTGTGTTGGATGATACCAGCAATTGCCTGTCTGACAGGCCAAAGCAGAAGTCAGCCAGGACATGTTATCCAGTGGTGAGCCGACCTGTGGATTGCAGCAAGGACAAGTGTGCTGGAGGAGGAAGTTCTTCAAAACCTCATCCAAAGCCCCAGCCCACACCACCTACTTCAAAACATGAACCAACTCCATCTCCTCCCAAATCTACTTCTACACCAACGCCACCATCAGCACGGGTCCCCACCCCTCAAACAGCAGAATCACCAAAACCAGAACATGAGATACCCTCACCGTCATCTCCATCAATCAATTCATCTGCCCCATCATCTGATCCATATAATCCAGGATCTGGTGGTCATGGTGAGACACCTTTATCACCAAATTCTGCACCGTCACCTAATTCATTTAGTAGCTCACCCATTGGCCATCACGATACACCACCATCACTCTCTATTAGTCCATCAACATCAAAGATACCTTTATTACCATCACCAAAGTCTGCTCCATCACCTGATGATGAATATAATCCAGGAGCTGGTGGACATGGTGAGACACCATTATCACCATCACCAACATCCTCACTAAAACCCGAGGCACCAAAAACATCACGACAACCAAAAATACCAGTTATAAATCCTCACTCTCCACCACCATCCCCGTCACTTGTGCACTCACCCCCACCACCAGTTCACTCTCCTCCACCACCACCACTAATACACTCACCCCCTTCACCCGTACGCTCTCCACCACCACCTGTCCCTTCATCACCACCACCCGTACACTCACCACCACCACCAGTCCACTCTCCCCCTCCACCCGTACAACCTATACACTCACCTCCCCCTCCACCAGTTCACTCTCCACCACCACCTGTACAGTCATCCCCTCCACCCGTACACTCACCTCCACCACCCGTTAAGTCCCCCCCTCCACCAGTTCACTCATCCCCACCACCCGTCCATTCACCTCCACCACTAGTTCAATCCCCCCCACCACGACCAGTCAAATCACCACCACCACTAGTATACTCTCCACCACCAGTCAAATCACCACCACCACCAGTTCACTCTCCACCACCACCCGTCCAGTCACCCCCTCCACCTGTTCACTCACCTCCTTTACCGAAACACTCACCTCCACCACCCATTCAGTCCCCTCCTCCACCAGTTCACTCATCCCCACCACCATCAGTACATTTACCTCCTGTACCAATACACTCTCCACCACCATATGTTAAGTCACCACCACCACCAGTTAACTCTCCACCTCCACCCGTTAAGTCTCTCTCTCCACCAGTTCACTTTTCCCCACCACCCATACACTCATCTCCACCATCAATTCAATTCCCCCCATCACCGCCAGTACATTCACCTCCTCCACCAGTACACTTTCCACCACCAAATGTTAAGTCACCATCACCACCACAACCAGTCAAATCACCTCCACCCTCAATTTTCTCTCCACCACCACCAATTGTATCTCCTCATCCTCATGCTTTTCCTCCACCACCCCCAAAAGAAGATATAGTCCTTCCACCAAACCTTGGGTTCCAATACGCATCGCCACCTCCACCAGTGTTCCCAGGCTACTAGTTAGTATATATGACCATCGTTTGTAGTGCCAAAAAGCTAATTATGTACACAGCTAAAAAGAAACTTTGTTAGTTCAATTTCTTGACCAGGAAATACAACCATTTTGCTTTCCTTCTCTTCATGGAATGGAAGTTCTTGCTGTTTACATTACTAGAGATTCTCTATCTCTATTTTTTTTCTTTCACATTCTCACTTCTCTCTATCGCTATCCAAGAAAAAAAGTGAGGAACTTGGAATATTATATTGCTACCTTGACAGTGACAATGAATTGCTTGTAAATTACATTTTCAAGGCTCTGATATGCAGAAAAGAATGGCAGAAGTATCTTTTCTTTTTTCCCTTTAATGTCACATTACTATTGTTTTTGTACTCAGTGTGCATGCCATTAAATTTTTATGCATTATGTTACTGTGAAATGAAAGATGAGAGCCAATTCATCGATTTTTTTTCTTGAATCTTGATTATGATCTTGACACTTTCTCTGATATTTATGTAAACATGCCAATGTAAGCAAAGAAAAATAGAAAGGAAAACGAAAACTCGAGTCCTTGTATTCCTGAAGCAACTTCACCTTTTGATCCTTGAAAATCCAGTCTTTTGGATCATGCGAACAACTTTTCTTTTGTAACATGTGCTGTTTCAATCCTTGGTTCTGTCATTTCCAGAACCTTTCCTACCAAGCTGGCCACTTCCTTACGAGTTGCCAATTCCAAAGCTTGATGCATACATAATGTCACGACCAATTCTTGGATCCAGCATATAGTAAAAGTTCTTCTTTTAACTTTTTTTTATATCTATACAAACTTAAACTTATATACAAATATTATAATTGTAGAGCTATAACTAAATATAATAGAATATCATTAATTATAATAAAAAAAATAGGTTATAAAGTCCAACAAATAAAAGTTAATACAAATATCTTAATAATGGAGTTTTAACTAGATATGATGGATAACAGTAATTATAATAAAAAATAGATTCTAAAGTCCAATAAAATTGTCTTGCTAATAAAGTTATACGCGTGAAAATAATAAATAATGAGATGATAAATTCTACAATTAAATGAGTAAATAATATTCAATATACATATACAAGGTAATAATAAAGAAAAACATATACAAATTTGACTTTAGACTTTTATAAAAAAGGTTTATAAACATGTCATAACAAGGAATATCATAAAGTAAGGATTGTGAGAAAATCAAAATGCAATGAGCATGTAATTTCAGACTATGAAATGATCAATTCGCATGGGTTAGTGACCTCTAACTAACTTGGGTTCAATACAATGTGCACAAAAACTAAAACTACCTTGTTAGTATGGGTATTCTAAATGACATACCAAATGGTCATATTATACTCAAACAAATAGAATTATATCTCAAGACTCAACTCATAACATCAATCAAATAAGAAGTTATTAAATCAGATATACACATAAGTCATATTCAGAATTCATATTCAATAAATGATTAGGGTCTAACCTATAATCTTATACGTTTAAGAACCAAAATGTAATTATAAAAGTGAAATGGTCAACATGATTAATTCCAAACATAACCTAAACTAACCAAACCTAAAAGAAGTTATCATACCCTACTACATAATCAACTAGCTCAACTCAACTAGTGGATATAAATCTAATAGCCAAATAATTAACCGATTGGTCAAGAATTCCATACCAGTTTCACCTAAAATAATATATCGCAATCTCAACCCAAAACCTAAAAAATCCAATATTAACTAATACTAAAAGGGATAAATGTTTTATTGTAGTTGGAATTACTGTGGATTGTGAGTGCCTTTACTATGGATTGTATTGTTTTATGGGGCATGATGAGACTGATGACCCATTCCCCTGGAACAGCTCTAGTTTTAGTGAGGCTATAGCCCTCGATTGCAAACACTTGATGTTGGGGCAGACCCGCGCATATGGCTGCGGACCTAAGCAAGCGGGTCTGAACACCTGCTTAGGATGTCGTAGCTTTAGGTCTTGCATCAGAACCCAATTCTGATGGATCCGATGTCATGACCCACTACTCATGGGCCCTACATTCGAACCAAATTCTCTTGGGTCCTGCATTAGAACCTAATGCTCTTAGGTTCTCTGTCAAGACCCAAGGTTCCTGGGCTTCTTAAATAATTATTCATGTTATAAATAATATTATTTTTCTTATGATTCAGGGTATTCATATAAAAAAATATTCGAATTTGTTCTCTAAATATTATTATTTTTATTATAATTCAAAGTATTAATATAAAATATTATTATTTGTGCTATAATTAATATTATTTTTATTATAGTTCTCTTGGGGACTTTGATGCATAACCCATTGGTAGTGGATCCTATATCTAAACACAATTTTGTTGGGTTCACAATTAGGACCCAGTGCTTTTAGGTCCTGCATCAAGATACATTGTGCTTGGGTCCTAGGTCAAAACCCAACTCTTTTGGATCCTACGTCAGGACCCAATTATCTTGGGTCCTCTATCAAGACTCAAGGTTCTTATGTCTTATGTTTTTTAATATAATTATTTTTGTTATAAATGGTATTGTTTTTTTATAATTCAGGATATTCATATAAAAATATTATAATTTGTGTTCTAAATATTATGATTTTTATTATAGTTAATAATATTATTATTAAAAATCCCATTCTTGTTATAATAAATAACATGCACCTAGGTTCTGCAGACTTCCTAAGAGTTGAAGACCTGTACGACTAGATCTACAAATCCTGCAGAGAAGAAAAATAAAAAATAATAATAACAATTATTATTAATATTATTATTGCTAATAATTAATAATTTTTAAAAAATATTATTATAAAAATTTTGGCCGGGCAAGTTTAGTATTATTATTAATATGGTAAATATTATTATATTTATTATAATTAAAAGCATTACTATTAAGAATATTATAATTGTGATAGAAATATTATAATTTTTATTATTAATATTAAAAATGCCATTATTTTTATTATAAATACTATAAACTTGATTATAATTAATATTACTTATTTAATAATTAATAAATTTGTAGAAAATATTATGAATATGGAAAAGCAATAGCGTTGGGTCCTACTAAACCCATCAGCGTTGGGTCTTGCACCCAACAACACCCAACAAAAAGGGTCGGGGGTCCTACTAAACCCATCAATGTTGGGTCTTTCACCCAACAGCACCCAATAAACAGGGTTGGGTCCAGCCCCAACAGAACCCATCAAATAACTTTATGTCTTGCCCGTAACATGAAGTAATAATGTAATTTTTTTTCATTTTCTCTTATGTTTTTTTCATAAGGTAAAGAGGAATTATTATTATTATTATTATTATTATTATTAAATTAAAAAAATTACTATCAATGGAAAACAATAAATTTTATTTAAATAGATTAAAACCTATAAACAAATTAGGCCATACAAATTTAATATTATTATTAATATTACAATAATCTATTAACTTTGTTGGTCATGGGTTGATGATTGTTGTGTAGGGCTTCTCCTTCCCTCTTCTAGTTAGTACATCTCATCTTTTTTTGCACACTGTTTTCCTTTTTTAAGGTCCTCTTCCTTCCTCATCTCTTTAACTAAGTGTCCTTGGCGTTATTTAACTTTTAACATATCATATCTTTATCTTTGTTGTTGAAACCATTCTATTCTTATTATTGAGCTATTTTCAAATTGCAGAGAGCTTAAACACCACCTTCTCACCTTCTCCCTATCTTACTGGAGTTATAGTTGTATCTTTACTTTTAAACTTAATATTCTTCATGCCTACAACTTTATTGCTATATTTTTTGTTTCATTTTATGCCTAATTTTATATGTATCAGTTCGAAATTATTTATATATACATGTTCATCTACTCGATAATTAGGTTTTATATTGAATTTCTTATTCTTATTCTTTCATGGAGTAGGGTTTTTTTTCTTTTTCATTAAAATTTTCAGTTTTGTACTGTTCACCTCTCAAGTTTAAATTTTCTTGCTGACTTTCTAACTCTCCCCATTTGTTGCAGGCCTGTTGTTCCAATTTTTGTTAATCTATCTCCACATTACATGGAACTAGAACACCTCTTTCTTCCTATCTTACTCAAGCTATAGATGCACCTTTATTTTCAAAGTTGACTTGCTTTTCCATTCTATGCTTAATTTTTTTCCAAATCAGTTTGAATTTTTTTCATGTGTTCATGTTTCCTCTATTTCATATAAGTTTTATGTTTAGTTTCTTATTCTTTTACATAATTTTTATTTTCTTTTCCATTTATGTTCTCAATTCTAACCATGTTATTAAAATTACCTTGATTGGAAAATTTAAAGTTACTACCCTTGCGAATTTAGGTTTAATTAAACTGATTTTGACCATTTAGATTTTCTTTTAACTTATAGAAACGACGACTTTATGACTAGCAATCGACTAAGATTACAACCATTCGATGATGTTGAACCTAACGTTTCTTCACCATATAACTTAACAACCCAAATTTATAGTGAAGGAAATTTGGGTCACCAAAATTTTTCATTCACACAAGCAACACCATACAACTCTAATCATCTAATTAGTGATCCCTTGCTTTTATATACAATTGATGTTAGTGCATCATATTGTACTTCCTTATAATGAAATTGTTCCATCTCAAATAATATTGCTTCTACCTCAATGGCATCAATGCGTTAGACACATTAACCAATTGCTTATCTAAATCCATTAGCTGGCCAATCTGAATACCAAAAAAAAGAAAAAGAAAAGGTGAGTTTATCTTAAACTTTTATCAACCCTCAATCATTTTTATTATACCTTACAACATACATGTTCCTTTTTTCATTATTTTTCATTTTCTTTGTAATTTCTAGGGGGGAAATGCGAGTATGTTAACTTTAGTGATAATACTTTTACATGCAACCATTATAATGCACTTTTTTGGTTTCAAGAACGTCTTGCATGTTCATCATAAAAGAATCCATCTTTCTAGCTTTGTTGCTTTAATGGTCGAGTTTCTCTTCCTACTATGCAACCAACCCCTCCAATTCTTGATTTTCGTCATAATCCCAGTAATGGCTCTGCCTCTAAAACTTTTTGAGATA